AGACTGCGATTTGCTGTCAAGGGCATGTTGTTAGGACAGTGGGTGAAATTTGAATGCATGGCAAAGTATGGTCCTTGGGCCCAATCTGGCATGCTGCCAGTTTTCGTACCACTTAATATAATAGCCAGAGTGATTTTCACATTTTTAAATGGTTGGAAAAAAGTTTTAAAAGAATAAAATTTCTATGGCAATCTGTAAAAGGCAAAACTGTGGAGACGCTGAGAAGATCAGTGGTTGCCTGGGGTTGGGGCGCGGAGAGGAGGGTCGAATGGGTAGAACACAGGGTATTTTTAGGGCAGCGAACTATCCTATGTGGTAAACTGTCATGGGAGATGCAGGGGATTATACATTCGTCAGAACTCATAAAACTACAGTGAGCGAACCCTAATATTAAACTGCGGACTTTAGCTAATAATAATATATCAATATTGGTTTGTCAGTTATAACAAATGTATCTTACTAACATGGGATGTTAATAATAGGGAAACACAGGGGCTTTGGTGGGTATATGGGAAGGGAACTCTGTACATTCTGCTTGGTTTTTCTATAAACCTAAAGCCACTCAAAAAATAATGTCTAGTAATTTAAAAATTACTTTATTGTGACACATAAATATTAGATGAAATGGAAATTTTTGTGTCTCTAAAGTTTCGTTGAAACACAACCACACTTTCTCATTTACATATTACCTATGGCTACTTTGGGGCTGGGACTGCAGGGCCGAAGAGTTGCAACAGAGACCATATGGCTCACAGACTAAACTAGGACGCTGGTGACCTTGTGCACATGGCCTCCCCGTCCCAGAGGCAGTCTGTGCAGGGACCATAACCGGGACTCAGCCTGCCGCCTTCCCACAGGCCTCGTGCTCCACCAGCGCTCCATCCAGTGCAGGAGACAGGCACGGCTGTGCACGTGTTGTGTGAGTTACAGGAGAGTTTGTACGGGGAACCTGTTAAAGCTCAGACAGTTGGTGGCCTTTGCATTGCGAATCTGTGATCTCGCAGATAGGAGAAGGTTTTTCACCAACTATTAAGCTGGCAGATGCATACTTAATTTAACCTACTGAAGGAAAAGTTGGGTTTAAATAAATCCTTTTGTTAATAGCACATTCCTTGGTTATAAAATGAATATTTCGAGTATAGAAATATTGGAAAACTCAGAAAAGTATAAAGAAAATAAAAACTACTTGAAATTTTACCACCCAGAGATTACATGGAACAACATAAAAAAAAATGCTAAAATTATATCATTTTGCCTCCACCTTCTGGAGATAACCAGTGTTTATATGTGTCCTGTATTCTTCTAAAAATACACATAGGAATACACGGCCTGCATAAATGGGATCCATGATGCTGTTTTTAAGCCTTCCTTTTTAATTATCAGCGTAATAAGAATGTCCATTCTATATATCAACAACATCATTTAAATACCTCCAAATAAGGAATTTTTCCAATTGTTAGAAACATTTTGTAAGATACATCTTTGTGTATTTTTTAAATGTGGAAAAAGTCTAAAGGAATATATGCTTTTAATAAGAAGGACACATATTAGCAGTAATTATCTCCAGAAGGGGAACGCAGAATTATATGATAATTTCACTTTCTTCTTTATGTTATTCTATGCAATCTCTGGGTGACAAATTTTTAAGAGAGACTTATACGGATGGCTTATTTTCTGCTTTGTACTTTTTCAAATAATTATGCTTCTCAGAATAACCACAGCTAATATTTTGTTAATATGTCCCAAGAAATTTTAAAAGTATATCTTAAAACATCATTGGAATCAGACTGTGTGTAGGATTTACATCCTGACTGACTCCCCGGATGGTGTCCTGTGGGCATTTGCCCATTTCCCTGATGGCCGTTTTGTGTGGGGCTGCGGTGATTGTTTTTCATTCCTTTATCATGGCTTGTTGGTACTGTTCTGATTTTCACAATGTAATGCTATGAGGAATAGCCGTGCCCTGGAATTATTTCGATTCTCTGAGTGCCTCTTAGACTTTAATCCTGGAAGTACAGTACTGAGTCAGAAGGCATAAAAATTTAAAGGTTCTCGTTGTATACGAAAAGACTAGTTATAAGAAATTTTGCTCATTGATTACTTTCAAAAAAGCTCTGATTCATTAGTTATAATGAAACAGTGCTACAGATAACTTGTTATTGACTCTTTTATTTTTAAAGCAGATGTGTTAGTCCTATTCTTAGAAATAGTTATGAATAATTACAAATATTGTATGTGAACATAAAAACCATGCTTCTGTCTCATTTTTCAAAATAATTTTAAAGCTAACCATCTTAAAGAAAAGTTTAAAAATAAAGAGATTTTGTCAAATATTACTCCCTCTTCTACGAATTTTACATAGTTGGAATAAAAATTTATGTAGTTTTTACATTACAAGCGTTTCTTTCTTCTGTGTTGCTACATAGTCTTCGTGACTATCATTTTCACCTACTCCAAATTATTCCATTGACTTCATGTACCATAATTAACCATTCTACTGAACGCTTAGGTCATGTCCAGTTGTTTTACTTTCATAGCACTGTGGTGAATGTGGACTACCTCCTTTGGTTCGAATCCCCAAAGTGGATTGACTGGGTCTGAATCTAAATTTTTGTTCCTTCAGAATTTTCATTAATTCATATTGGGCTGTCTTCTAGATTAGTCTTAATTATTGAAGTTTTATTCCAACGACCACATGAAATTCATGACATTCGAATTGGCAGAGCACCCAGTATGTGCTGCGATGTCCTTAGGAACCTAAGTGACCAGGACGCTGTCTGTTTGCGAAGGGTCCCCTCTGGGGCCCGGATGCTTCAGACAAAAAGAGACTGCTTTTTTTGCATGCCCAGTTGGTACTGCAGTGAATGCATTCGGCTGCCACTCACAGAAGCCTTTTATTCCATAGCCTTTGCCAAGAAGGAAAGAAAATACACAGCGGCAGGGAGGTAATCATTATGTAACCCCCTCGTTTTTTGGGTTTTTTTTTTTTTCCTTTTTCTGTTTCCTTTTGTGAGAACATCATCAAATCAGGATGGAAACGCGTTTATGGTGTCTCCTTTCTGCTAAAGCAGACTCTAGCGACTTCATTTTCAGAGATGCAAAATTTACAAAGTTTATAAATGCTGCTTTGTTGCCCGTGAGCTGTGTGGTTTGGCCTCCAGAGTTATCTCAGATAGCACAAATAAATCTGGCGGCCTCCAGTTGTCCCAGCTCAGCGTGGCCCCCTCCCCCGTTTGTCTCCCCCCTCCGAGTTTCCTCTTGGTCTTCAGCAGCATAAACCCAGTCTTCTCATCAATATGCCCTGTTAACTGCTGCCAAACCTCCAAGCAGTTTAGGGCATATGTTCCCTTAATCATTTCTCTTTGTTCCAGAAGTCTGTGTTTGGTTTCTGGACCTCCTCCCCCCGTCCCACCCCCCTGCCCCAATTCTACCATCACTGCCGCTGGCTACACAGCACATGACTGTCTACTGTCTATTTAAAGAACAGCGTAGATTGCTGCCATGGAGAGGGCCTTCGCAGTCTGCTCACAACGTGCTAAATCATCCCCCCTTCCGGAGGAAAAGTGTGCTAGCCGCCCCGAGAGCCCGCGGGCGCGCCCAGCTCAAGCGCCGGCACCCTGGGAGAAGCAGAGGTTCCTCGAAGACAGTTTACCTCCCCGCGGGACAAAGCTTCCTTCTTAGGACTGCGCCGTTCCGACGCAGGAAAAGGACGCTTTATTCTCGGAGTCCCACAGTGTCCAGGCACCGCTGCTCTCAATGGCTTATTCATGGTGTCCAAGAGAAATACTTCTGCAGCTGCACTTCATTCAGATGCAAGTGGGCCTGGCACACGGACGCCGGCCGGCCTGCTGGCCGGGAGTGCCCTGTGCCTGTGGCCCGGCCCCCGCCCGCTGCTGCAGGGCCCTCCTTAGCAAGTAGAGGGGTCCCCTGGGCGCCCCGAGCCAGCGGTGCACACAGAGACACTGGTGTGCTCTCTGCTTTGAGTAGTTTCCTTGTCTTACCGTTTCGTGAGGTTCCACCTCGTTCCTTGGTCCTGGAGGGAGGATGAAGCGTTGATAGCGAAGTCGTCCCAGGGGCCATGTCCGCGGCCCCGGGGCGCGTGGAACCCTGGAAACGATTATGGGAAACTGTTTATACAGAGTACCATCTCCCATCACCCATGCCTTCGTCACCCCCAAAGTATTTCAGAGAGGCCCCAGCAGCTGCACCGACAGTGGGCAAACCCGATTCCTGCTTTGTTTAATAAATCCTACCACGCGCTATGCCTACTCCGCGCCTGGGAGCGCAGGGGAAAACGCCTAACGGAGTCAAAATGCGTAGAGTGCAGCCGGGGATGGGGGGGAAATTCAGAGTGGGGGCTTTTTTTTTCCTTTTCTGAAAAAAGTTCCCGTTGCCGTGTCCGTGGAGCCTGGAGCCAGAGGGCACTTTCCCACCTATCCCCCTAAGGAAAGTCTGTATTCTTTTAAGTGAAACCATTTTAAAAGCAGAGCTGAAGCCGAAAATGATCCAAGGTTCTCCCTAGTTCTCAGAAGGTGTAGATTTATTTACTATAGTTAAAACGTAATTAGTTCTCAGGGGAGAGTGTATCTTTTAAACGGCTTTATAGCCACCATATTGGTTTTCTGAATAATCAGAAACTTCTGTTATGATTATGTTCTAGCGTTCGAACAGAAATGCTCTGTAAGTGGAAACAAATGTCAGGAATTGGTAGTGTCACTCGAGGAAGGGACACCGCGTCAGAAAGAACTCGATGGGATAGTCCAAAGAAATATAACCTATCAGCACCTTAAATAAACTGGATAACAGCTCAGGAGGGTACACGTGCCTCCCTGCCTTGGGCTTCTCGGAAGCCAGAATGGGGGCGCAATCCCTTGAAAGCCAGGAGATGGTCCTTCCTTACCCACACGTTCACAGATGTATGTAAACAGTGTCCCCAGCTTTGCGCTTAGGTTCCCTGTGCAAAGCTGTTCTGGCTGACCAGTCTTTCCCACCATTTGCAGGTTGATGTTTGAGATGCCGCAGGAAATGGGTTTAATAGCCATCGCAGCCCGACAAACAGAGGGCAAAGGTCAGTCATCTTTTATTATCGTTTCTGTTATGTCTGTTTTTTAAAATCTGTGACTCGTGGCCAGAGAGACGATTGATTGAGTGCGTTGATTGTCAAGATGGCTCAAATTAGTAGTGGTTTGTTTTCATGCCCCACCCCACCCCCCAGCCCCAAGTTCAGTGGAAGAAGAGGAAGCGAAATTGATCAGAAGATTGAGCCTGAGAGTTACAGCATTCTCTCACACTGAGATGTTTGTTAATCACTTAACATTGGCTTGTGATGGTTTTAACATTTGGTTCACTACATCTTGTAAATTCCTTCTGACACATTCTAGGCATTGCACTTTGTGAATCATAACTGCTGTAGAGACATTTATTTTCCTGAAGGGTCTCTGTGAGGGGCCTTCTGTGTCTGTACTGAGTACCACGTGGAGGGACTGGAATTGGCATAGAGTGGGCACTCAGGCAGTGCCCATTCACAGAGTGCCCGCAGAGAAGCAGAGGGCTGCTCAGTGCTGACCCTCAGAGGCGAGAGCAGATGCCGTGCCCTTTGTCGTGCAGGAGGCACTCCGCCCTGCCTTCTCCCACCCCTAGCCGATGCCAGGCTGACTCAGATGTACTTTTAACCTTGAGACTCCTATGCCTTTCTCAGAAGAAGCAAAGAAATAAGGAATCCACTATTTTCTGCTTCTTTCTCTTAAAGGTGACTTTTGAACATAAAGAGAAAAAAATTCATTTCATCAAAAGCCACGGGGCTCAATAAACAGGTTTAAAAAAGTATATAGAAAAACTTTGATTAGGTGTACCTCCCATTTTGATTATTTTATTTTCCTGACTTCGATTTTAAGAAAATTAAAAAAAAAAAACAAAAACAAACCCTCAGAGTTAATACTAGGGATCCTTTTTTAAATTCAGCTTCCATTTTTAAAAAGAACAGTGAGATATATAATTCGCACACCATTCAGTTCTCTCGTTTAAAGTGTGCAGTTTTTCATATGTTCACAAGGTTGTGTGACCATCACCAGGATAGGAGTCAGTTCTCAGAAGGGGTGTCCAGGGCCTCTCCTGGACCAGTACAGATTCGGTTCGGTTGCCCTCATCCCTGTTTTTGCCGGCATCACCGTAGGTGAGACTTCAGCTGAGAGCGATGTCCCAACACTGTGAGGCTCTGAGCCGTCAAAGCACAGATGATATGCTCCCAGAGGCAGAGCAGCCGGCTAATCATCGGGAAATTGTTCAGCAGCAGGGCTTCAGATTTTGAAAAGCTCCTCTGTGACTGAGTTCACCCCAGAATATCCACGTGTCTTAATCAGTCCACGTCTGTTCTGGTGGGACGTGTCTTTGCCATGTGGCTCCGAGTCCTCAGGCACGTTTTCTGGCACAGTGTGCTTCCGAGTCTGTTCTTGTGGCAAAGTGGCCAGTTTCCCAGTGGGGCCTGTCTTCCAGGGCGCGGAAGGAATGCATGGCTGAGTCCCGCGGGATGTGCTCTTTCTACTCTGCTGGTCTCCATCCCACTGAGGTCCAATCTGGGACAGAGGATCCCGTTCGTCCAGCATCTGGCGTCCCTGGCGGTCGTGGAGGCGGTCAGGTCCATTCCTGGGTACCAGGTACGTGCAGTTCCCTCACCTTTACGTCCCCACTCTGCGTGCACATCTTGGCTCGGGCTCGTTTATAGCATTTGTTTGCGGGATTGCCGCATGTGGAGCCTCGGCCTGCTTTTTGCAAAGCTGACAGCTGTGTCCCTGGAGTTCTAAAGGCACCATCAGGTTTTACAGCTGCTTCAGACTCCCCAGAATGTGCTTCCCCCGCAGGATTCCCTTTCCGTCCTGTTGTCAGGTTTCTCAAACAGCCTAGTAAGGGTGAGTCTTTTTTTTTTTTTTTTTTTTCTTTTGGATGCAATTGGACTGGATGGGGCTATTTGTCTGCATTTTCTGGTGAAAAGCCTTATTTTTTAGATCTCAAAAGTTCTCATTTCCTACCTTCATTACTACGGCCTGTGCTCAGCAGAGCCATCCTTGGTCTGCAGTTGCTTGAGTTCAACGTGCAGGTTTGTTTGGGGCTCTCTGGCCCCAGCTGTAGGGACAGATGTGCCCACTTCTTCGTTACTGTTGGATGCTTTGGTGTCAGTTATTAAGAAGACAAGGAAAAGACAGTGGTTAACAGAGTTACTAAAGCCTTTTCCCCCATACCTGGCCCCCACCTACCATATCACCCTCCTCAGTTTTCCTGGAAGGATTTCATACGGCTATAAAAAGGGGGGTCTTCCCCGGCTCCTTCCTACCTACAGCTGTTATGTCGGGCTCCTACTCTGGCCGTTCTGTTCATCCTGGAGGCCCAGCTCTAATGCTGGCCCCTGAACCCTCAAGCTGCAGGCTCTCCCTTCAAATAGCTAAGCCTCTTCTGTGGTATCTCCCACGACTTGCTCTGAAGCAAAGTTATTTGTACTCCTGTTCTGTCTCCAACAGAGTAAGCAGCTCTCTGAATGCAGAACTAGTTTTATTTTGATCCTCAAAGAACCTAGCATAATGCTTTAGACACAAGGCCCGCATCAGCCATTTGAATAAATGATTAATTGAGACAACAAAAAATAAGCATGCAGCCTTTCTCTTCACTTTGGAATAGATGTCCCTGTTTACCTGCGTGGGAGCCCACAATTTCATAAGCTGCATCATCAACTCGATCCGAACATGGGAACTCAGAACACAGCCAGGCGTCTGAGCAGGCCTGGCACGGAAGCAAGTGCCACCTGCGGAGTTGGGGGGTGTTTCTGAGCTTTGGCAGGGGCTGTGCGGGGCACAGGGGGACATGGGAAGGCAAGCGAGAAGAAAGAAGGGAACTGCCAGGGGGACCAGGACAAAGGTCTCTGCATTATAGATTTTCTAGGCCAGCGTTTCTCCACCTTGGCGCGTGGGTGTTTGGGCCCTCGCATCTTAGTTGGGGGCCATCCTGTGCGTTATAGGATGTGGAACAGTGTGTCCGGCCGTGGCTACGAGATGCAGCAGGTCTCCCTCAAACCCTGACAGTCGGGAATGTCTCCCCGTATTGCTCAATGTCCCCTGGGGGCCAAAATATCCCCGCCTTTGAGAAACTTATTCTAGACAGAAAAGAACTGTGAAGCTCCTTTCAGTTATGGGTCATGGCGAGCACCCTGCTTTTTCTCGTACTTGGGTTCTTTTGTGTCCCTGCGTCTCTTCTCTCAGGCTAGAACGCTAGGCCAGGGCAGGTGAGCTCATAAAGCACAGAAACATATTCCAGACGGTGGGGCGATGAGGAGGCCTGTTGGAAGGAGAGAAGGTGATTTCCTGGAAGCAACAGGCTACGGAGCCTCGTATTAAGCACCTGGACTTGATGCGAGGAAACCCTGTGTTTTAATCCCAGCTCTACCTCGTCCAGGTGGTGCGACCTCGGGCTGTCCTCTTTATGCTCCAGTGTCTTCCTCTGTCCCACAGGGGTGACACTACTGCCAGCGCAGTGATTTGGTGGAAGCAGCATACAGACCAGTGCTGAGAAAAGGGGCTCGTGCCGGGCCAGGGCCCCCGTACGGGAAAAGCCAGCCCTGCTGAAGTCGGAGCCTATCAGCTGCTCTCTGGGCTCAGTTTTATTTTGCTGTGTGTCTGTCCCTCTTCCAGCCTCATGTCTCCAGATGGACTTCCTCTACCCACAGATGGCACAACCTGGCTGCCAGCCTCAGGTCCAGGAGTCCAGGTGGCTCTGGTGCCTGCTGGATCTAAGCCAGTCTGTGTGCCCCAAGTACGAGTCATGGGGGAGGTGAGGGTCCGGATGGCCCAGTTGAACCAGTGTCCACCCTTGACTGCTCCACCGTGACCGAGGCACAGGGGGAGTTGCTCAGGCCACACCCCTCAGGATGGAGAGGACAAGTCTATTACCATTACACAAGTCGAAGGCCATCTCTGACCGGTGGAACACGCTCCCCATCGATGTCATCATAGCTTTCTACTCGAACCATGTCTGCCGCCTTTCATGACAGTGGTTTCTTCGGGGCCATCTTTCTCTCTCGAGCCTGGGCCCCTCGAACCCGTGTATTATCCTCTCCCCACCCCCGCACCTAGCATATGATAGATGCTCCACAGTGCTGGTGGTCCATACTGAGGAAACGAAATGAATTCTCAAGATGGGCATCGTCAGACAGTGTTTTGATGACGGTGAACATCGGTGACGAGTGGGGACGGTGCTTCAGTTACTACCGCTGTGTCCTTGAAGTCTTTCTTGCTAGTTCCAAAAGGCACCTTAATTCTAGATTGTCCTAAAGAAGTAATTTAGCTGGCTGAAAAAGAAGAGAGGATGAGGCCCCGTGTTTCATTAGTTTTGAGAGTATTCCGCTCAGCTGACTTTTCGCTGGATGTCCTCAACTGGTCCCCGTGTGCCCATCGATTACTTGATTAATATGCCAATTTTCCTTTAGGATATCAACTTACGAGTGAAGTGGCCCAACGATATTTATTACAGTGACCTCATGAAGCTTGGTGGAGTTCTGGTTAACTCAACGCTTTTGGGAGAAACATTTTATATACTTATTGGTGAGTTTTTAAAGCCTTTTCCCCAGCAATTTTAGATTAATAAAAATAAAAATGGTTTATACGTGGCTATATTGGAGATGTGAATTAACATATGAGATTACTTTTTGGGGGGGGTCTTACAAATATAGGATATAATACGTGTGTAAAACAGGCAGATTGATTGAAAGTGCTTCAAGGGGTTTAAAATTCCCATCTGTGGCCAAGAAAACCAAATTGGTATCATATTAAACACATTTTCTTACACCTTTCCACACTCCTGCTTCTCATTGACTTAGAAATGATGAAAATAAACCACAATGAGATAACGCCTCACCCCTGTAAGTGCGGCTGTTATCAAAAAGACAAGAAATAACAAGTGTTGATGAAGACGTGGAGAGCAGATCCCTCATGCTCTGTTGGTGGGGATGTAGATTGGTACAACCACTGTGGAAAACAGTATGGCGTTCCCTCAAAAAATTAAAAATAGGATTACCATATAATGCAGGAATTCCACTTCTGGGTATTTATCTGAAGAAAATAAAATCGCTAACTCAAAGAATTATATGCACCCCCATGTTCAATGCAGCATTATTTACAAGATATGGAAATAACCCGAATTGATGGATGAATGGATAAAGAAGATGTGATTCACACACACACACACAGAAGAATATTATTCAGCCATAAAAAAGAATGAAATCTTCTCATTTGTAACAATAACATGAATGGATCTTGAGGGCATTGTGCTAAATGAAATAAGTCAAACAGGGAAAGACAGATACTGTATAATCTCACTTATATGTGGAATCTTTAAAAAAAAAAATAATAATAAGCTTATAGATGCAGAGAATAGATTGGCGATTGCCAGAGGCAAGAGTAGGGGGTGGGCGAAATGGGTGGATGAAGGGAATCAAATGGTAGAAACTTGAGTTATAAAATAAATGCAGTTGTTCTCACTTATCCATGGGGGAACATGTTCTGAGACCTGCAGGGTATAGTACTGAACCCTATTACATACTATGTTTTTTCTATACATATATACCTATGGTAAAGTTTATAAATTAGGCACAGTAAGAGGTTAGCACCAATAACTAATAATGAAGCAGAATAATTGTAACAATACACTATAATAAAAGCTACGTGAATGTGGTCTCTCAAAACATCTCGCTCTACTGTACTCACCCTTCTTGTGATGATGTGACATGATAGGCACCTGTGTGATGAATGAGGTGACATGCGTGACGCAGGCATTGTGACGTAGTGTTAGGCTACTGTTGACCCTCTGATGGTATATCAGAAGGAGGATGGTGCACTTTGGGTGATCCTGGCTCATGGAGCCGTGACAATGTCAGTGGTTAGATGTCAGGAGCACACAATGTTGATAGTTGGGAAAATTTAATATTTTTGGACCACGGTTGACCACGGCTACCCGAAACCTCGGAAAGTGGACCCGTGGATGAGGGGACGCTACTGTGAGCCCCGGGAACTGGACAGCACGGTGACTGTAGCTAACAGTGCTGTACTGTGTATTCGAAAGCTGCTAAGAGAGTAGATCTTAAAAGTTCTCATCACCAGAAAACAAAATTCTGTAACTATGTGTAGTGATAGGTGTTAAATAAACTTATTGTGGCAATTTTTTGTTTTTCAGTATGTATAAATGTTATGTGGTAAACCTGAATCTAATCATTCATTATGTGTACATCTGAAACTAATGTAATGTTGTATGTCTATTATATCTCAGTTTAAAGAAGAAAAAAAAAAGTACAGTGGTATCCCAAACCTAGAAAACTGGATGCATTTTTTTTAATTACAAATATTTTAATATCAACAAAATACAAAATAAGTTCGCTAGTCATCTCACTTCCTTTTATGACAAAAATTAGTCCATGCATTGTTTAACAGCTTTATTGAGGTATAATTTTTATGCACTATAATTCACCCATTGAGAATATACAATCTATTATTTTAGTAAATGTTTACTAAATCAACACAGTCATCTACACAATCCAGTTTTAAAACATTTTCTAAATTTCTAAAATTTCCCTTATGCCTCTTTGTCTTCCCTACCCTAGTCCTAGGCAACCACAGATCTACTTTCTGTCAATAATTTTTCCATTTATGTTAAAAAAAAATGATAAAAATAAACATTTATTGTACCATTTTGTAATAAGAAAAGAAAGTTAATTTCTGACATGGGTCTCCTGGTGGTCTTCCTTTCTTCATTTGACTTTCCCAGGCCGCGAAAAGGTTGTGTTCTTTGTAACCTGTAGGATAAGCTCCAGGCTGGACAAGGTGGGATAATGAACCCCTCTCCCTTCAGCACCTCTAGGTCTGGCAGGGAGATGGATTCAATATCGGTTTTAGAAATTCTTAAGCCCCTGGTCATCCAACTGTCAGCCTCCCCATACTGCCCAGGAGAGTTTGTTTGATGTTCAGACATCGGCACTGGGCAGAAGACTCATGACCGTGTGTTGGAAGTGCCAGCCAAAGAATACAGGCTTATGTTTCCAGCTCTGCTACCAACTGGCAGTATTATTCTGGGCAAGCTGCTGCTTACCCTCAAAGCTCCTTTCCCATCTCTAAATGGGCTAGACACAGAGATGCTTAAGTGGAGTCCACAGATAGCCGGAGGCCCAGGGATGGTTTCAGGGAGCCAAGGAGTCCTGTCAGCGTAAGGGACGTGAGACACTGTCCTGTGGAGAGAATCCATAGCTTTTGTTAAATACTTAAGGCCGGGGGTGGTGGTGAGAGGGGGTGCACCTTTGATCCCGGATTCGGTCGCCAGCAGGGGTACTCTCTGGTTCTTGGAAGGACACAGCCTAAGTTGACAATAGTCAATGCTGCTATTTTCCCCAGCACTTTAAATTTTCTGAATACAAGACAGTATTTTCAGCACTATATACACTAAATTTCATGCCTTACGCTCCATAGGTACTTCAGATATTGTGTATATTGTTGAATGAATGAGCAAATGAAGACCTGCAGATTCTGATCCTGTGCCATAGTTACTTTTTTCTAGGTGTAATTTACCTTGCTTTGTATTTTAATAGGCAGACATTAAACACACACACACACACACTCACTCACTCACTCACATTCATTCTGGAGCTTCACACTGAAAATAGCTCCAAACACTTACCAAAGAAAAGTTATAAATTTTGTTCTGTGTGGGAGTCTTTTTCTTTTTTTTTTTTCCAGACACCCTGAAAACACCTTAGTCTTATTGCCGAGTTCTTGAAGTATTTCGTTTCTGATTAAGGCCTCTTTGAGGTTCATTCAGGAAGACTGACCCTTCCCGGAGAGGGTGGTGGGGAGGGTGGTGGCGTTAAGTAGCTGCGAGATAAGCCCCATTCACACCCTGCTGGTAACTCACTTTCCCGAAGCCTTCCTTTGGGAGCCTGTAAAAGAGCCACAGGACGTGGGCTGGCCCCTTGCCAGCATCGTAACCCTAGCACCAACGACATCCAAGGATAGAGTATTGAAAGATGTGTTCTATGGTTGTGCCATGAACAAGGTTTGAAATCTCTGAATCCAGAGTTTACTTCTTAAGACCCGAATAAAAGTCTTTGTTTTCGAGCCTGTGTCTGTTATTCAAGTAGGAAAAGAAACAAGAGATTCTCAGTGCCGAGCTGCAGTTCTTGGCCGGACCACATGACATATGGTTTTGTCCCATTCGTGGCTTCTGTTTAATTAGCTTGCTTTTTTCCCCAACCTATTGGCAGGAAGGTTGGGAAGGTCCTGGCTTGATGAGGATAATAAAGATGGACTCAAAGATATAAGTCATTCTCTTAAGTGGCCACAGAGACAATGAACTCAAAATGAGGACCAGGAAGCAGGAAGTTGATGGTACAACCTGTGCCTTATGTAGGTAGTTGAGAGAAATGTGTAATGCCGTCAGTAGGTTGAGCTGCTCATGTTTTTCTGTTGTTTGTTTGGATTTTGACCAGGCTGTGGATTTAACGTGACCAACAGTAACCCCACCATATGCATCAATGACCTCATCACAGAATATAATAAGGAGTACGGGGCGGAACTGAAGCCCTTAAGAGCCGACTGTCTCATTGCCAGAACCGTGACCGTGCTGGAGAAACTGATCAGCACGTTTCAGGACGAAGGGCCCGACGGTGTTCTTCCCCTTTACTATAAATATTGGGCACACAGGTCAGTGCTGGCTTGTCTTCATTCTTTTAAAATTCCTTTATTAAGTCCAAAGTTCAATATCTTAAAATGAGAAACTAAGCTCCGGTCTAGGTAATTATTTTTTTACCTTTCTGATGGCACCACCTTGAGCAAATTGGCACCACCAGTAACAGGACCGAGGGCATCCTGTGCCTCCTGGTGGGACGCAGTGAGAAGATCATCACTGGAGTTTTCCTACCAGCATGTTTGAGACAAATCTAATTGCGAGGAAACAGACTAATCTAAATTGTGGAACATTCTAGCTCACAGTGGTTTTCAAAGTGAGATCCCCAGGTGGCAGCAGCAGCAGCCTCACCTGGGAAACTTGTTAGGAATGCAAATTCTGGAGTCTCAGCCTGGACCTCCCCGAGGCTGGGGCCCAGCCTTGTGGTTTAACAGATGCTCCAGGGGTTTTCATGCATCTCAAGTTCCAGAAGGGCCGATGTATGTAAACCAACGGGCCTCGACCTTTAAAAAATGTCAGTGTCTTAAAACAACAAGGTGGGAGCTTTTTTTGAGATTAAAGAAGCATGACAGCTAAATGCAATATGTGATTCATAATTAGATCTCGGATGGGAGGAAATAGCCACGAAGGGTGTATTACAGGACAGTGGGGAAATTCAAACATGGACTGTACATTAGGTGATGTTATTGTATCAGGACTTGATTTCTCGAGGGTGATAATAGTATTATGGTTTTGTAGGAGATGGTTTCTAAGTATTTAAGTGTAAAGTGACAGAATGCCTGCAACTTATTTTTAAATATCTGCCCCAAAATGCATGTGTGTGTGTGAAAAAAGAAGGCAGACAGGGAAAATGGTATCGGTTGGTGTGAAGGGAGAATATGAGGTTCATTGTACTATTTTATTTCAACTTTTCTGTAGGTTTGAAATTCAAAATAAAAATTCGCTAGGGCATGCGGGGCGGGGTTGCTTCCTGTACTTTTTAAAACCGTTAACAAGGATGTAATTCAGTGGGTACATTTGGAAAATATTCAAAAGAGTTAGAATGAGTTTAACTTGTAGCTGATGCTATCCAACTTTATTTAATAAGATGAAACTTTTCAACTCTGCTTCTTTTTCCCCAATCCCAGCCAAAAAAAAAAAAAAAACCCTTAGAGAATTGCAGTGTTTCTCAACAGTGCCAGAGGCGAGGAAGAGGTGCAGATCACCCCCGGGGTGATCAGAATGAGGCAGGGGAGTAAGCGGGTATAAGAGAAGGTTGCTAACGCCCTGTGGGGCCTCGCCATCACCCTGGTTAGTCTAGCACTTAGCAAGACAGCGCCCTCAGACTGGTGGAAGTCAGAGCCCAGACTCGTGTACCCAGGCCCTGGCGACCGTCCCTTTGTAGCGTGCATAACCCTTAACCCCATGGCCTCAGACCACGTCGTTACATCTCCCGTAACCTCTGGCCACTTCCTTTTCAGTGCTCAGCAAATCCGCCTGGGAGGGCCCAGGCCCTGGCGACCCAGGCCCTGGCGACCGTCCCTTTGTAGTGCATAACCCTTAACCCGGGGCCTCAGACCACCGCGTTACATCCCCTGTAACCTCTGGCCGCTTCCTTTTCAGTGCTCAGCAAATCCGCCTGGGAGGTGAGGAGGGGCCCAAGGTGTGGATCGTGGGCCTGGACGATTCCGGGTTCCTTCAGGTCCACCAGGAGGACGGCAAGGTCGTGACTGTGCATCCGGACGGCAACTCCTTCGACATGCTCAGAAACCTTATCGTCCCCAAGCAGCTGTAGTCCCCAGGGGCCTGGCGCGCCGGGCGGCAGGTCGGGCAGCCGCCGCGAAGAGTCGGGACGAGCCCACAGCAAGCATTCCAGTTCGGGTTCCTCCGCCTTTCCTTGCCCGCGGATCTGGAGCACTAATTTAGAGTCACAGGCTGTTTTTTTTTTTCTCTCTCCTATTAACCTGTTAATTCTTTCATTTTGTTCTGTCGGTCGTCATTTCATTTGGTGTTGGAAGTTGACCGCGGGTGGAGGGCTGGCAAGTGGCAGGTTTAGTCCAGGGAAAGCCCGACCGTAGGTGTGACCTGCTCTCTCGCTTGGGCTTGGAGGTGTGTTTATTGCCTCCCCCCACCCACCCTCCAAAAAAGTGTTTAGGTGGAAACAGCAAAGGAATAATTCAAATATTTTCCCAGTAGTGGAGACCTTTACCCCTAGACTATTAAAAAACAAATCGGAAAAAAGCTCGGGGGCCCGGCCATTGCCGAGTTAGAGGTGTGGTAATCCTGTTTATAAGCGCCCAGGGAGGCGTTTTCCTACTGGAACGTACATTGGCACTTAGTCCTCATTTTATTTTTGTGTTAATGAACAAAAGAGAAGGTCGAGGGCCAATAACTGTCCAGTGGCTACAGAGATGCGTCCAGCTGGTACGGTTGCCATGATACTGCGGAGGAAATCAGCTAATTACCTTGACATTGATATATGAGCGCGCCTTTCATAAGTTTAAATTTACTGCATATTCTGAAGTGATGGGATCAAGTTCAAGATGCTTAAAGGGTTGATTAGGCATTGCTGGGTGTGGGTGTGGGCGGTTTGCTCTAACAGCTGGAGATGAAGGCTCCGCTCACCACACACAAGGCAGGATTTGGAGCCATTAAGCCTGGTTCAGGCGCAGTTGGAAATGTGGAGCGTTCCTGCAAGACTGTGCTGCACAGAATACAGAAGCGCATGGCATTCTCTTTGCAAGTCATCTTTTTTGACCCCCTTTTTCCTGTATTGCCAAGAAAGAAAATGTTATCGATACGGAAAACCATCATTTAAGAGGGAGTCTGTGTGTGTGTGAGAGAGACAGAGAGAAGCTTTAAAAGATCTTCAAAATCTGCTCTCCTAAAAGAGTCCATCGAAGAACAAAAGAAAGGAAGCCTTTTGATATGCATTTGCTATTTCCAGATGTACTCCATGCTTTTTCCATGTAACTCCTATCTCTGTTGAACTTGTGAATCACACATTACTTTTCAGCCTTAAAAGCCAATTTTTGCCCACTTTTCTCTCTTCCTGCCAGGCCCAACTGAAATTAGTGGAAAGAAAACTTGATGGAGCTCTCAGCTTTGAACAAAATCCCTTTATTGTATACTAGCACCATCTTTATCCAGCTCTTAGCCAGCTAGGCTAATTCCAGAAGCTTGTGGTTTTCAGTACAAAATCTGTCTACCTTTAGCCAGGCACAGGCAGTCCCATAGGAAGGGAAAAAAATAACATGTTTAGTTAAGTACACCAACCCAATATGTGTTTTTTTGGAAATGCAACTTTTAAAAAGAACTTCAAAAGTAGTTTTTGCAAATAGGACTTCAATTAGAATTATTTTTCTCAAAAAAAAAAAAAAATCTCTCTCCTAAATGCCCACATCTTCTTTGGGAGTTAGTGACAAGTTTAAATAAAAGTCCACACCACCCCAAAATTACAAAATGGACTCACCCTTGAGAGGGCATCTGCAAAACATCATCAAGAAGAAAGATCTCGGGCGAATGTTGCAAGTTTCATTTCTCAAACTTTGTAATATAAGGCAAGTCATCTCTCAGAGCTGCCATCATTACTTTTTGAATTTCATTGAATTTTATTTAATGAAAAACATGCTATGTTTTGTTTTAAGCTGAAGTCCTATTCTAGACAGTTCTGCTTTGGGGAAAAAAACGTTATCATTTAATTTCCTTTCTGTAAATTAAAACTAATGAAGTGTGGCCACGTCACAGCAGATAGAGATGTTGCGGGCGTAGCGCTTTGCCTCTGTGCTTGTACAACTGTTCTTACTTGTGCCGACATCCAGTTGTCTTAAGGGAGACAAAATGGACTTAAAGCAGATGCTGTGTTTTTCATAAACCTGATCTTGCCTCCTGTGAACCAAAGACTTTTGTAATTCGCTTCTATAGGGCAGCTGAATAAAAGCATTTTACTTAGAGCTGTTAGCATCAGGGAAACCCTCTTGTACACTGCAGTCTCGATCTCAAGGAACTTTTAAAGTCTTAACAGAAACTGCTGTTCTTCATCATCTTTAAAACACGGCCACTAGACTCAGGATTGGTGTGTGCTTTCAGGACATTGAATGGTCTCCCAGTTTAGAGGCTGTGCGCTGAGCACCTACCACATTATGTACAAGGCAAAACATCTTCCCTTCTGGGCTAAGAGCAGATTTCAGGGGAAGTCTTGGGAACATGCCCACTAAAATAGGACAGAGCACTAGCTGGGCTTTCCGTGGCCCCTGCCGGGGCAGTGCCTCTTGGCACTGGGCAGATCCTGGCTGCGTTCGCAGGGCGTGGGCAGAGTAGGAAGGATTTGTGTCCAGTGTAAAGCAGTCGGTGGGTTCGCCGCTGCAGCATGCTCACTTTGCCTGGTGTGAAAATACGGGGCCTGACGAGGAAGGGGGTAGGTAGGTGCTCAGGTCAGGTGCCCGCCCCGCCCTCCACATACACACATAGGGAGGTCACCCACCCTAGAGTCTGAGGACCAGGAGAGCAGCCAGCCTCACCCAAAGTTTCAGGATGCGAAAGGGAGACATTTTAGGCTTACGTTCTGCAGATCTGTTCGCTCTTAACAGGCAGAAAACGGTGAATCCTTATTCCTGAGTAATTACTATGCATCTTTGAAATAAAAGAAAGTGGCAACCTTTGCATTTTTAGCTTTTCAAAGAACCATCTCTGGAAAGTCATTACTTGAAGCCAATGCCTATAAAAAGCAAGTCTACCAAAATAAACTTAAGACTTCCTACACAGTTTGGGCTCGTTGTTATTTTTACCACAAGTTTCATTTTTAAAAATAGGCAACTACTTTTGGTTACAGTATTTTTATTTATATTTAAACATTTTTACAAAATAAATAGTTTTACAAGGAAAGGAATATGTATATATTTCTAAGTATTAAGAAGCCTTTTTTTTTTGTTTGGACGTATTTTGACAAATGTATTATGCATCATACAAAAGAGAAATCTTATTATTCCAAAAATGAAAGTTAGCAAAACCTAAAAAGTTAAAAAAAAAAAAAAGGTTTGAGATGAGAAATCTAATAATTTAATGTAAAATTTTAAAAATTAATGTAATAACAAATTTAAGAATAGATTTTGTTCCTGTAGAATTTTTCTTGGTGTTTTATGAACCTACTTGACTTTTGTCTTGACAGTTTTAAGATTTTAATCTCATATATCCTACTGAAGTTTAGGAATAGCTTGAATAATGCACTTTAGATAACCCAAGGGCTACGATTCTCTAAAATTTTAAGCTACTGTAATTTTCTGGCGTTTAATTGAAAATGTTCTTTTTACCACATCTTATCCGTGGCGGCCCCCACAGTCCACTTTAACTGCCTTACAGTTACAATAAATTACAGCTTCGGATAGATTTTATGCAGGATTCATAGGGTCCAGGGGAGAAAGACATGGCCCAAAGAACTTTAAAAGGATAAAAGGGGGTGTGCAGAACGTATAGGCTCTGGCAGATTGCCTCAGAGCAGCCCTCCTTCACACCCTGCTCACTTCTCTACAAAAGTATGAATGGAATGGCTTTTCTAGCAAGGGCTTCCATGAACATAAAGGAATTCCTTTCCCTAGGAGGCCCCGCCAGTCTTGAACTGGGCTTATTTCTCAAATCCATTCGATCTGGCATTTTTGTCAACGTGTTAGGACCCACTACAATTTTTTTTCTTTTTTTGTAAAAGAGAGGCATATTGATTAAAATGCTTCCTTCCTTTGCCAGACCCTCACAGAAGTCAAGAAGCGATATCCCCAGCTTAAATGTGCAGACTCTTAAAAGATGGAAGTAACAATATTAGGTTGCCATAGTAACTGCTCTTAACTTTGCACTGAGCCTCAGAGGCCTCAAAGCCAGCTTGCCGAGGAATCTTCCCTCATGTTCTAGGAAAACCATGTTTGTCTAGACAAAGACGTTTTAGTACATACTTTATTTTTCAAGTGCGTCTACACTCATCGTTATGCCTGTTTATGTTATTATTTGTAAATCTAATACTGTTCTTTCTTCACAGTAACCTTTGATCTTAAACTGCTACGAAAGCCTTCAAAAGCCTCTGTGGTTAGTGTTTACTAAGCACGGCCCCCAATGGCTAACAACAAGGTAGACGCGTAAGTGTTTTGCGGGGATTTTATTGAAAACTGTCAGGTGACACTTGCTCATCCCACCTGCACCTTCCAGGAATCATGGTTTAATTACAAGACTCGTGAGCGTAACAAGTAATACCTCAGGCTTGTTTTATGCGCACACACTCAGAAAGGGCTGCTAACGAGGTGTGGCTAAGTGCAGTAAGAGGTCTGAGTTCCACTCCTAGGACCCAGCCCCTTGGCTGCACAACACATGCTCCTAAATTCGCAGATTCCTCCTCCTCCTCCTATAAGGCAGCCGACAGCCTGCTAGGGAACCAGGCAGGTCCTCATAGTGACACTGGGTTGGCAACAGATCATTTCACATCTTTGCAAAGTTGATGAAGGTGCATGCTGATTCTAGAACAACTAGTTAGAGACGTCTGTGAAAACCCTTTGCACTCAGAAAAGTGGAGTTTCCTAAAAGTAAACCATTTTTGAAAAATCGGCCAAATGATGGAGTGTTTATAGTGCGGAGCAAATTAAGATGGTGGTTCAAAGCATCGATTCACTTCAGAGCCATGATATGATTTTTAAATGGTGAAATCTTGAAGCAAAAATATAAAAATAAAAACTAATGGAAGTTATTTATAAAACTGCTGGTGCTTTATAAAAGATTTTTTTTTCCTGTTACACACATGACATGTTCATATCGAGTTTTCTCGCTATGAATAAACTGCAGAAAATGCTAAAAGCAACGTACACCTCATTTCCATTACACTCCTTTAGCACGTTTTCTTCCAGGAGGCGCAGTCAATTGACGATTTTCCATATTGCACATGCAATTTCACTAACTTCATTAGCACTGCTTGTAGCAAATGGGAGCCTATCGAATCACAGGTCTGTGTGGGCCAGAGGGATTCTGCCTCGTAATCAGAGCTGAAGGGTAGCCAATGGCATTGGGCACCTAAGTCGTCCACATGTCCTCATAATATATCTGGCTATATATATATATATATTGCATTTAATGCCTATTCAATATATTCTGAAGGTGCGATTCTTGGCGTCATCAGAGTTCTTAGGGGTTCGGAGGAAGGAAGAGCTTGTGAACGGATTTAGGAAGCACACCCCTGTTCACCCCTTGGTCTCGGCTTGAGTTTTGTAATGAAGAAAGGGTTAAAGCAACTTTCAGTGAGACTCACGAATGACTTTTAAAGACAGCAGAATTGTTGTCTACTCATGGGACTTGATCACATTCTGCGTGGACTTAACCCGAAAGGGCTCTGAGTAGAAGGGGTCGGCCCGCCTGGCACCTGCGGCCACATCAGGGTGCGGTTTCCTCCTTAAAGCGGAGGGCATTAGCGCAGTGGAAACTCCCTGCATTCCCCAGTGGACCTGGGGAGCACTGGGGACGAGGCAAGGGGCAAGCCTGATTTCCGGGTGAGGAAACCAAGTGCCCCCCCAAACGCGGGCTTATTTTAGGTCACACGTGGGACGACAGGGTTGCCCGGCGCCGCACTTTCGGGAGAACAAAGGTCGGGCGGTCACGTCTCCCCAACACCGGGCGGGTCTCAGTCGTCTCCACCGGCCTTTATGGCATCTGCGGTAAAAATCTAAAAGTCGGCCGCGGAGTTCTATTAAAATAGTTGTCTCTGTATAAATTAATTTTAAATCGTGCATATACAGCCCGCCCCCTCTGAACTCGGCTGGACTTTGTGAAACAGAAGCCAACGAGGCCTGGCCCCTGGCTTCTGGCTGCAGACGGCCCCCGGGCCCCGCGGT